AAAAACAATTTGCAAGTCTTATGCATATTTAGAAGATTTAGAATGATATCATTTTGTGGATCAAAAAATATTTCTTTGACCAATTCTTGATATAAAAACACATTGAAATTCAACTTTTTATATGTTGAAATGCATTCAAATACTTAAAGGTTATCTTGATATATTAATTTTATGACATTCTTTACTATATAATTTATATCTAACATCAGATGAATGGAATCAAATTAGAAATATTATGGAATTATTAGAGCAATTTGATATAGCTATAAAAAAATTATCTGCTCAAAGTTATCCAACTATAGCTTATATATATATTATCTTACTTAGTATATACAAGAATTTAAAAAATTATAATAATGAAGATTTACTAAAAAAAATAGTTATGATAATGCACAACAAATTGCAAAAGTATTGGTAATATATTGATAAAATATCATATATAGTTGCATTTTTAAATTCACATTATAAAAAATATATTTTTCTAGAAAAACTATTTAAGAAATTTTTGATCTAGTACAACATTGACTTCCTATAACAATTACAAATACAATTTCAAATAGAAAAAAATCTATTTTTATAATACAATTAACACAACATCTAATAAATTCTTCTATATAACAAAATAATAAAATACAACATTATTGAAATTTATCACCATATGATAATGATATAGAATTTTTAATATAATAAAAAATGCATCAAAATGAACATTTATTATTGTCTAATTTAATATAAAATCATTTGTCAATTCAAGTAAGTTCAGTTTCTTGTGAATAATTATTTTCAATTGCTGATATTGTTATTAGTAAAGCAAAAAAATAAATTAACAAGTGATAATACTTGTGCATGTTTGTATTTAAAAAGTTGGATAAATGAAAATATTTTATAGTTTTAATATTACATGTATCTTGCTTTTTATTTATTTAATCAAAATATGTATAGCAATATTTATGATATAAACTTTGATTTATCTGGCAGTTTATGTGATTGACTTTTAGTCGATTTAAGTTGACTTTGATCCCTGAGTTGATAAAAGTTGAGCTGAGTTTAGTTGAGTCGAGTCATTAGCATCCCTATGTATGTCATATCATAAATTACTTGTTATTATAGTTTCTCCTGTATTCACCTCGATTTGAGTCAAATTGATGAGGACAAACCATTTTTTGATGTTAAAACAATTATCAGACTATAGAGCTGACCCTCCTCCCATCCCACCCCCAGGTGAGATTTTGAGATCCCTCTCCCTCCGATAATTACATAATATTTGTCAGTTCCCTTAGCAATTGCTTTATCGATTGATTTTTATAGTAAGTCAAATTGTAATTACCAATTTTCTTATCCTTATCTAATTGTTTATTAAAAAAAACTTTCTGAATAGCAAATATCAAATAGAAAATAAAAATGCAATCAGATTCTAGTACGTACATATATAGATTAGATGAATGTTGGGGGCAGTTTTAAAAACTAGTTAAAATAATGAATTCTCTTTTATTTGACAATGCGATAGGTATTTATCTTGGCTTACCTTTAAGCTTAATTCGTTGAATAAGTTAATTTCGACAACAAAAATTCTATTAGTGTGGATTTCTAATTTTGAAGTTCAAACCTAACCCTAAAAGTTTAGTTCGCAAATTTGATATTAAGGAACTCTCAGGTAAGTATAATGGTAGAATTGCGTTAATTTCTAGTAACAGCGCACTTTGTAATAAAAAAATAAAGCGTTTAGGTAAAGTTTTTATATATAAATTCGACTGATAAAAAGGAAACAAATTTATCTAAAATATTAAACAAGCTATTAAATTGATTTTATGATTTATTGAAATTTTCTATTTATGGCTTTCTTTGCTTCTTTCGGGAGTATGCTTGTTCGATAGGGGTATATTCCACTTGATGATTATGGCTTGTTATTTCGTATTCCTCATTATCTATGTCCACGCTATGTTCATAAGCGTTCGTAACTTTCGCCATGTTCCTGCTACGTTCAGAAACGTCCATAAGATTATCCACTTTTATGCTACGTTTAGGAGCGTACCCTTCCATTTTTTCTTTAGGATACAATTTAGGGGCGAAATAATAAGCTTTCAAATCCTTTTTAAGCTGTGAAGGAAGAACACATTTGAACTGATGGACTTTGAGATAATAATCTTCGCTATTGATTTGAAAGAAGCGAATATGCGGGATACAATCTTCTAATATCGTCTGAAATTTCTGTATGCTGTCAGCACTCCAACTTTCTATATAGTCGAACCGTAGATTTTCACCACTTTGTGCGATTCCCCATTTTATGAGAAAGTCCCAAATTTCGATTTCTTTCATATCTAAATCATCTCGCTTCAATAAAGAAACCAAAAGATTTTTTTCAATTTCCAAACAAGATTTAGATTTGAAAATGATTTTTGGCTCTTTTTTTATGATCTCGTCGCAGATGTTCGAAATTTTTTTGCAAGCTTCGAGTCTCGAGACAACTTGTTGAACTTTGATAAAATTTTCTTTAATCCAATTCATCCCTTCAGAAACAATACAGTTCTGGATTGAATTAATTAATGCCTCAAGCATTAGCTCGTCGGCAGCGATAAGGATATCTAGAATATCCTCGCTTTCTAAAGGTAAGATAATTTCGCCGGTATAAATATAACTGGTAAAATATTTTAACATTTAGTTTAGTGCTTAATCAAAACTAGTTTCTGCAAAATATATTTACCCGAGAATCTTTTCAAAAATAACTGGCCGTATATTTGGTTTATCCATTGAGATGATTCCATTTTCTTGACGAGCCCACAATTGTGAAAAAGCAACTTTAAAATATGGCGATCTCGCACGTAAAATTACAGAATGAGCTGTAAAAGTTTTAACATTGTTGCCTTGACCGACTTTTATAGAAACATTTTGGTCTTCGGAGTCTTTGAAAAGTGCTGCTATTTCAATTATTAAAATATTTGGTAAGGAACAGGTCGCCATCTTTTGAAATTCAAAGTTTGGAATGGTATTGGTAAAAATAAGGATAATTATTAATACGTTAAAATTATTGTAAGTTTTAAGTTACTTTATTAAGTCTTAAAAATGATTTTTAACTGTTAGAAAAGTTAATCCATCAAAGATGTTGAGATTCATCAATATGCATATGCAGTGATCTCTGATGATCTTGATGTTTTCAGTAAAACTATGTTCGGGTCGGGTCACGGATTGGACCCGACCCCTAGTTTTCAGTGACTTGGTTATAAGTTACTGGACATTTTTGAACTGTGACTAGGGATTTTACAGTCTGTTTCAGTACACCCATAGTCTGGATGGCTTCAATCAGACAATGATAGACAGTGTTGGACAAACTGCCTACAATTGTCCAACCTTTATCCTATAAGAAGATAGTCCCCTCCAACAAAGCCTGAAGGAAGATCCCTCAGCGCCATTGATATCTCCAATCCGCATCCTCCGCATCTAAATATCTTTCATCCCCCTAACCTCTGATGTATCCGTCCACAATTGCTACATGTCTTGCTCGTATATGCCTCATTAACCACCACAACATCCTTATTAAGCTCTTGGATCTTTGAAATTAATGTGTCCAAGTCATTATTTTTATGTACAATCTTACTGTTGATCTTACGATGCTGTCGCCATCTGACCACCATTAAAAGCCAGAATGACAATTACATCAAAGATGCGTACGAGCCACAATGCAGTTTTATGATGGCATTCATCAATAAGGTTGCGAATATGTTGTCAAATGCGCGCTTGGCCTGGCGCGTAGAATTCCGTTTTCAAGCAGAAGCTTGGGTCGTCCAGGAAATGAGATTATTGAGATTGAAATAAAGTCGAACAAGTTTTTGAGCATCACCATTACCAATGTAGCCAGAGCCATGCATGGGTGAATGCCTAAAAAATAAATGAATGTCAATAAGCTTTTTTTCAAATGGTATGAGTCAAGATTTGACCATTACTCACCGAGTTATAAATGTGCGGACACCTGGATCTAGAGAACAGACGTGAAGATCTCCCACTTGGTTCTCGTGTGAGGTTACTTTGCTCTTCTCATGAATGTTCACTGTTGTTGATGTTGATCCCACATGTTTGGAATTATTATTGACCCAGTCCTTCTAAGTTCGGCCAGTTGTGTCTCTTCATAATGAAGAGGCGGATGGGTAGCAAGTTTGTATGCTCCAGCTGAAGGTAATTTATATTTATTATTATTACTTTTGATTTGGTGTTCTTTTCAAGAAACTACTGATAATGAACACCTCCAACAAATAGACAATAGTAATAGTCTAACATTACTGTATAGTGTTTATTCTGATTAAAATTTAGATCTCAAGACTTCTTGTTACACAGCGAAACTTCTTTCGAGAAGTGTCGAATTTCAACTCATAATTCGCGGGGGATAAGAACACTGAACGCACATTCATTCACTGCGTTATTAAGTCACGTTTCTCTTTGCATTTCAAAAAATCCATTTTCAGGTGTAAAAAAGAATTTGCCGTGCTTTTTATAGAATACGATTCATTAGACGAAGAAAAAAATTTCTGACTTTTAAATGTAAACATTTACGAGAGAACAAGAATGAATAAATTCGGATGAGAAAGTATTTGTCTGCGCTCAATTAGGAAAGGCAGACGTGCGAAATTCTTTCTTCGATACATAATACGAATACAGTTATTCGATAGAAAAGGTGGCAATCTAATATTGAATCAAAAAATTTTATTGGCTTATGTGATAAAATATAATTAAATGAACAATATAGATTTCTCTTAACAGTTTACCACAAAAACGCAAAATTATTTGTTAGATCTAAATTCTAGCTTTCCTAGGCTATTCTTTTATTCATCATGAGAATTTAGTTCAATAACAAATTTATCAAAAGCACCTCGGATACACCTCATTTGCATTTATCCAAGTTTACCCACAATTTTGCAGACAATCTTGTTTGTTTATAAACTTCGTTCTCAAATGTAAGTAGAAATAACCCAAATGCGCTTTTATTGATTTGATTGTCAACCAAAGAGGTTTTCGGAGATAAACTGTTCTTTTTAATTTCCAGGAGTACTTTGAGTGTTGGCAGGGGGGTATCAATGGTTAGATCATTCGAAACTTTTGCTGTCGCGTACTGCATTTCGGACTCAAAGACAATTGACTCCCTGCTATGATATTTATGTTCTTATCTGATATTCGTACGATAGGTGTGTATCGTTAGATAAATTAAGTTGGTTCTTTTGAAGCAATTTATGTTTGTAAGACAATTATAAGAAAAGAACAGAATCACATAATGTTATTTTTACTCATCTGCTACTGATTATCCTTATAATCAAATCTTGCTCTTTCTTAAACAGTATATCGTCAACGAAATGTGCCGATGCAGGTTTTCATTTGGGTAAAATACCATTTTAAGAAACACTTCTCAAGGAATCATGCGTTAATAGTCTATCCATTCTAGCAAATTCTATTAAATTCCATTACCGTTACTTACTTTAGATACAATTTAAGAAGATTACTCCAAAACTCAGTAGGCGGGATCTTTTCATCAACTAAATTGTTGAAAAAAGGTAAATTACAAAAAAATCAGCAAATCCCTCAATGACAACTGGAAACGGACATTATTTTCAGAAGAACCCACTTTTCAACTATTTCTAAATACTCTAGGAAAATGTAAAAGACCAGGAAAAAGATTTTGGCACGTGGTGGATTTTGTGCGAAAGGCAAGACAAGTCTTTCATGACAGATGCTTTTTACATTGAAGAAATATGAGAAATACTGGGCGATTCAGCAATGATCCCAAGCATAAGTCCAAGGTAAGTTTGGAATTATGGCGAGTTAGAGAGACTATCCTAGTTTCAATGAGTTAACACACTGTATTTATATCATATCGATAGATCGTATTTTTTTTGCCACGGAAAAGTGATAACGCTACGATATGATGTTCTTATAAGCATGGGAAATTGACCTCCATACACTTTTTTCTCCCAAGGGTATCGAAAATTGGTTTGGAAAGCAATCAGTTGTTGAATAAATCTGAGATAAATTAATTTTGTCTTATTTATCATTGATTTACAGCCATACTCCATATACTAACACCCTCGAACCAGAAACAAAGTGTGACTTAAAGATGCTGTGACTGTATTGAGGTCAAGTTTCCTATGCTTCATAATAGCTGAGACTAAGAAAAAAAGGGTTATTGTAGAAAAGTGTGGTATGACTGTGTTTTGTTAGAATAAATAATCGCAATATACACAGTATATTTCACTTTAACGAAACCCGAGTTGAACGAACGAAAATTTAATACAAAAAATAGCTAATTGTGAGAATGCTCGATTGAAAAATTATATTGAATATAATATTTCCTGGTTTTTTAAATTTCACAAAGTATTCATATTTGAAATTCCCTGATTATTCCACAATTTGGTAGTCGTTGTTTATTTTCTAGTCCATGTATATGAAATTACGTAACTATTTATTATAAAAAGGCGTTATACCAAAGGAAATCATATTGTTTTTAGGTTGTCATTGTTATATTTGAGATTTTGGTTAGTCGTCGTTACGTATAAAGGAAATTAGATCTACGTGTTCAAATTTTCAAAGTAACCCGATCAAATAATTACATGTACTACGTGCAGATCCTATTGTAAACAAGATAAATTCAATAGAATTTGCACGTCGTTATATCGAAAAAAATCTTGTTATACATGTACACGATATTTTTTGCACGTGCTAATCTAGGTTTATAAAAAGAGGAAATGGAAAAAAAATTAAACCGGTTTTCTAATGCTTTTGTAGTGCATCCGCGTCGCGGGAAGACTAGCGCTAGCGTTTGACGAAAATTTATGTAATCATTCATATAAAATGTCTACGGTACTCGACTCATCTTTGAAAAATCCAGTTTTTGGGGGAAAAAAATGAAAAGAACTTTATCGACAGCTGCACGTCAACGCTTCATATTTTCGTCGAGTCCGAATAATTATCGTCAAAGCAATCTTCGAGTTTCATCTAATCCTCACAATTATGCTAAACTCTCCCTCGGCAGCAGAGTTCAATCTGCTGATTTTCACATCAATTTTCCATCATTTCCCTCTATAAATATAGACTTGCTCAAACTTCACTTTCGACATACTGCACCAATAAGTGCTGTGAAACGCATTAAACGAGAAGAAACTTACGGAAATCTCGTATTGTTGACAAATCAAAATCCGAGAAGTACTATCGCAAAAATCTCCCGTGAAAATGCCATTAAAACAACCGAAAAACAAGTTTTAGAAGTAATATCGATATTTACCATTCAATTAATATTTTGTAAGATAGAAAAATATTTATCTACTAATAACAAAAATAGATTGTCAACGATTGCCGTATGAAAAAAGTAAAATATACCGACGACAAATTCGATCTTGCTGCGGATCCATCACATGCGTTATACAAAAGCGGAGACAAGACAAGTGACGGCGAAAAATTGGAATATGCTTCAATAAAACGTGTTCAAGAGTTCCTGCCAGATTCTCAATTTTTTATTAATGGCGATGAGCATGGTGATGTTAACCAAGGTAATAAATAAATAAAATCAAACATAAAAGAATCAAACTAAAATGCGCCAATATTATTTTAAAGGCTCGATTGGAGATTGTTGGTTTTTAGCCGCTATGTCTGCGGCAGCTGATGTGCCCAGTTTAATTGAATCGACCTGTGTAGCTCGTGATGAAAAAATTGGGGTATAATTCATAAATTTTTATATATTGAAACTTCAATCTCAATTCAATTGACTCAATATTGTTTACATACTTAGGTTTATGGATTTGTTTTCTATAAAGTAGGAAAATGTATGCTGAATATGAGACAAATGGCGTAATTCTAATTAAACTCGTAATCGCATATTTAGGATGGAAGATGGATTTCATCTATTATAGATGACCAAGTTTTTCTAAATAAACGTGGAGAACTACTATTTTCGTACGTATTCTACTAATCTTTCAATATCCAATGATAACAAATGCAAATTTTTATTTATAAGTAAATGCAAAGATAAAAATGAAACATGGGTTCCATTATTGGAGAAAGCTTACGCAAAAGCCAATGGTGATTATGAAAGTATTAATGGTGGATGGCCGGGAGAAGGTAATTGCATTTTGATTGTACTCGATCCAAATCTATACGATAATTAATCAATAAATTATAAAACAGCTCTCGAGGACTTGAGTGGAGGTATTTCTACCACATATTGGAGTGATCTTATCGAAAACAAGGATAAGTTATGGCGTGAATTGCGTAGGCCAAACACTGATGTGGCATTCGGATGCGCGCATTTCCCTCAGAAAACCGATAAAACCCTTGGACTCGTCGGTGGACATGCCTATAGTATACTTCGCGCGGTTGAACTTGACAAGTTTAGATTACTTGAAATCAGGAATCCGTGGGGTCAGTTTGAGTGGAAAGGTAAATAATTAGGAAAACCAAGCCTTTGCGATTTATTTGTTTTTAAATTCTTGGCATTTTATGTTTTTCATTACGTAGGTCGTTGGAAAGATCATGGCGCAGAATGGACCCCCGAATATCTCAAAATTCTAAATTATTCTTTTGAAAACGACGGTTCATTCTTTATGGAATATGATGATTTCCTCAAGTACTATCAAGCAGTCGATAAATGTGAATTCTATCGCGATCAGTGGCGCGTCCATTCTCACTGGATAAAATGGACGGATAGGGCGGAAAAGAATCCAAAGTTCACCGTTGAACTTAAAGATCTCGAGAATGAATTGAAGATTGTACTTCAACAACCAGATCCGCGTTATTCTGGGAAAAATTACAATAAGATTGGGTAATAAATTACTAGCGTATTTTTAACTTACTACGTATTCTATTATTGTTAACAATTTAATATTATCACTAGTTTTAATCTGAAATTCAAGTTAATCGACACAAAGTCAAAAATGGCCATCTCCAGTCCCCAAGAATATTATTGGAAACGCGCGACTAATCTCAGCATTACGCTTCCTGCAGGAACTTATCAAATTATCCCTGAGCCCACAAAAGTACGAAATGCGGAATGGAATAAAGAACCGACCAACGATGATTTTGATACTTTGCTTGGGTTAAGGATTTATACGGGAAGTAATATTAACTTGGGAGTAAACTAACGTGTTTTTTCGGCAGAAACTAACAAAAAGAACATTTCATTCTCAAACAATTTGACACCGACCGGATGTTTTTATAAAAAACACCTCTATATATTTTTGACCCAATAAAAGACGTGACTATTAAACACGATAGAATACACGTATATTTTATTTCATGCATATTTCATATAAACGATGTTTAATTAATCTAGTAATGAACAAAGTGAACTACAAATAATTTAATAATAGCACTAATTCGAATAGATAAAATACACTATATTCCCATCTTTGGTTGTCTAACTGCTTTTTAGTTTCTCTAGCGCATCTTCTGCATCTGGATGACCACGGCTTTTTGCCTCTTTAAATAATTCTTCGGCTCTTTTAATATCGACTGGTAAATCATGTTCACCATTCAGTAAAATATCAGCATACCAAAACAATGCATGCTTATCACGTGCTTTTACAGCCATTTCTAAGTAGGCAAGTCCAGTCCCTTTATCATACATCGATCCTTTCAAACACCCCCGCGCAAACAAATATTGTGCTGCGGCCTTGTAAAGAGTTGGAGAATCGTCAGAAACCTGACGTAAATATTTCATAGCATCACGTTCATCCTGAATCACACCCTCTCGTCCATCAAGAAGGTACCAACCAATTAGATATTTTGCTTGAATTGAATTGGGTCCCTCTCTTTTTGCGTACTCTTCTAGGTGTGGATAGGCCTCCGCATATAATTTCTTATTATGAAGTCTCATTACTTCTTTCCAATCCAGAACATTATTATCATGCTCATGAATATGATGTTTACTATCGAACAGATATAAAGCCTTAGGATATGAATTTTCGTCTTCGTCGTCCATTGAACCTATTACTGATAATGAAGGTGATGGTGCAGTAGAGAAAACATGATGAAATTCTTCATCAAGCAGTTTATGCACTCCGTGTGTTGTTATTACGGATAGATCATGTGGTTTGTTTTGTGTACTCGATGTATTCAATAGAACTTGAAGTTCAGAACGAACTATTTCTATGCTTGGTCGAACACGAGGATTTTGATGCCAACAAGATTCCATTAAAAGTTTGTAATCTGAATTTAAGTCGGCCGGAACCGTAGGGCGTTTTTCTTGAGAAATTTTATCGTTTACCTTGTCATCAGTGCTGCTATCAGCGAAAGGTGGCGTTTGCTGTGATGCAATTTCCGCCATTAAAATTCCAAAACTAAATAAATTAATAAAAAAATTAATATGATGACCGCTATTTTAATACTTTATAATTTTATCTCTACCTATATACGTCCATCGCTTTTGAATATGGGATCTGATATTCTAATATTAGTTCTGGTGCAGCATATCTATGATTTATTATAATATACGTTGATTAAATAGATAAAAAAATAATATAATTATGCTATATTTACCGAATACCCGTTGGTTGTCCAGCAAGTGATATCCGTCCAGGGTTAGTAATACGAGATAATCCAAAATTACTGAGCTTTGGGTTGATATTATCGTCTAACAAGATGTTCTCGCTGTGCATATTATAAATAAAAATGATATTTACGCGTTTTTTCTGTTATGAGACAGAACCGTAGATATAAAATTACCTCGATAGATCATTATATAAAATTTCTGCTTCGTGGCAAAATGTTAGACCAGATGAAATTCCTTCGGCTAATTTGAGCTTTATAACCCATGAAATGTTTTTTTCGTTTTTTAAATACTTGTGAAGATTATCATTTGCGACCCATTCACTGACCACATACAGTCCATTACTGGATTTAAGCGTACCGTAACTATTATTCGATGATGAGGTAAAAGAATAAATCCTTTTTTAATAATTCGAGATGTATCAATTAATTATTCAATTACGTTACTTATTAATTAATTGACCAATTAATGATAGTAAAGGCCAACATTTTCAACTTACTATTTTTCAATATGATTATTCCTTGATAACAAGTTGATAATCCTCGAATATCTTTGAAAGCTTTGATAGTTATTCTGATCGACATTATTTATTTTTCTCACAGTAACTATTTTTCCTTGATAAATTCTTTTTTGAACCTCTATATTATCCTTTGGATCATGAAGTTTAATTATACGAATATTAAATTCGGTCGCTTTATCTTTATCTTTATGACTTAATGTTATTGACGTGTTAATAATGTTGTTTTGCATATTCATAGGTTTTTTTGTGAACAAAGTCTTTTCTCCATCAAAATGAGAGTCTGAACTGGTAAAAAATTCTTTCTTCTTTTTCTTTTTTAGCTCCTCAAAAACCTTCTGCTTTATCCCTTTCTCTACCGGTACGTTAAAATGATCATTAGCCTTTGATATTTCTATAACGTATTTGATCCAGTCACGTTCTTTTGGTACTTCGGTTATTGAATCCTCGAACTTTGAAGGATTTAGATTGATCTCATATTCACCACTATCTTGAATTTTAGCGCCTTTTGAAAGGAACATCATTAAAATTAAAGTATCAAAGTCTTTGTGATGCGAATTGGTATTACTAAAGTTTTCGCTCATTACTTTATCTGAATCAATTAATGGAATTACTGCATTTTTCATTTTCTCGCCTAAATCTCTGTGATATTGCAAGAACTAGTAAAAAATTACGAGAAAATATTGTTAGTTTTGGATTTTCCAACTCTTTGACAATCAATAACGACGCGATACATGCATTATTAGACTTTGCTGCCCTTTTCAAATTAACAAGAGCTGTTTGACTGAAACTCCCAGGCTTTCTAACTTCCTTTACATACTCAGTAACCTCTCGCAATACATTTATGTAACTCGCTATCACTTTGTCGCTTTTCCCAGCTGGATCGCTCGCTAAAAACCGTTCCTGCCAGAACTTAGCAATTTCAGTTAACGACTTGCACACTGTTCGATGATAGTCAGCTCCGTCGCCCAACAAGATTAGAGTCTTGGAAACTTCTAATAACTCTTGTACTAATTTTTGAAGACCCGATGTTTGATTTGACATTTCATTGAAATTTTGTCACAACAGGAAGGAAGAATTGCTGAATAGTTTATTTAGATTATCAATTAAACAGGATGTCCGATGGCTTAGCATGTTTCTTTTTATGGACTATAATAGTTAATAGTTACATTGTTACTTTGTTATTAACAATGTAACAATGTGCTGCGTTTATGCTATATCGAATATAGGATCTTCTATCACACAAAGACAAAACTGGATTTAAACTTGTTTTTAAAAAAAAATCACAAAAGCAAAATTCACATATATGTCTTTATTATAAGTTAAAGTTAATTTGTGTTGCATCTTTATTTATATAAACAAAGATAGTTAATTAGTTTCAAATGTAACAAGGGATTTGGTTCAGTTATTTTCTTTGTTTTAGTTGCTTTTCTGTGTAAAAGATTCAATAGATTTAATACCTTTTTTTCGTTAATGGCGAAAAAACATCAATTAAAAATTTATATAAATCTAATTAAATAAATTAACGGATAAGTTTCGCGCGTAAAAACATTTTTTCTTTTCGGATAATAATTATCTTCGAATCCAATAAATTATTTTTCTTTATTATTATAAACCTTAAAGTTTTTCAGCATGACCTCGAAGGTTACTTGGGATGCTACTAGGGAGGTTACTAGGGAGGTTAATACCTCGTCCAGCAGCTCACATATAAGCGAAATAGCCATTACAACTATTAAGGCTACCATCGCTATTGGTGAAATGCTGCCGTTTGCAGCAGCCGCTTGTCAAATAGCAAAAAAAATTGTAGAAATGGTAGAGACAGCTCAACGCCATAAAGAAGTTTGTAAAGATTTATCGGAAAGAATTAAAAGGACGACGAAAAGAATAGAAGCAAATCCGCCAACGAAAGATTCGAGTATCATGATCCAGGTTTCATATCAAAGCTATAAACAGATTTTAGACGAAGCTGCTCAATATATTAGAGATTTAATTAAACCAGGGACTTTTAGTCAGAAAACTTTAAGAAGAATTAAATCCTTAGTAAAATCGAAAGATGTAAGTTTGATAGCATATATCCACAATATTGGAATTTTGCGTGTATAAATGCTAACTAATGATTACCTAATTTACCAATTTGCCATTAATCAATTTACAGATGTTAGAATACCATGCTGATTTGATTGGACGATTAGATGCAGCAATTCAGGATTTACAGTTGGATCTTGCTTTCGATACAAACAAAAAAGTTAACGAATTAACTGTTAAAATGGATCAAAATCTTGATATTTCGCACGAAAATCTTGATTATGCGCGAGAAACGAGTTTCGAAGTGAAAAAGATGGCAGCGAAAATGGAGGTTGTCAGCAATTTTGCTCAACTAGCAATGTTAACAAAAGGCGCTGATTTCAAAGAAGAAAGTATATATGTCGACCCGTCAAGTGTTGAAGAAGATGATGATGATCCAGTAATTAGAGGGAAAACTAAAAGAATTAAAAAAATGTTGTTCAACGGGAAAGACGAGGTAGCTGTACGTAAAGTGCAGCCTAGTGATAAACATAAAGCTTTGCGACAAGCAATGATTTTAAATAGATTGGGAGCCTGTAAAAATATAGAGAGCTTGTAAGTATGCACGTTATATTATTTCAAATAAAACATTCTCAATTTAACATTGCTCATTTGTTAATTAATTAGTAAAGGTTTGATGAAAAAAAGTGAAGAAATATATGTGGTGACTGAATGGACCGAGAACTACGATCTCGAAAAGTATCTGCATTCAAACGTAGAAATTTCATTGAAACAAAAATTAAAATTTGCAGAAGGTATCGCAGCTGCGCTCACATATTGCCATAAAGCTGATATCTTTCATCATGATGTTAAAAGGTAATTTCAAAGATTATTAGAAATATATCA